TTTTTTTTTTTTTTTTTTTGGTCCTGTTCATAAAGCTGCCTCCTCTTTCTACTTTACAATCCTGAAACTAAGACAGCATCTCTCAAATTAGCTGACTGACAAAAGCTTTTACTGCCATGCCCCTCAGTGCCTTTCAGTGAATTCTCATTGGCATTTGAAATCTGCAAATAGGAAAGCCTCCAGCTTCTGGCATGAGGTCTGAGACTGGATAAGTGATTTATCTTCCACAAAACAGGTCCAAGGGCTGCTCTTCTGTCCAGGCCCTGCTTATAATCCTGAGAGACAGGAGCTCAAGAAACTGGCTATTGTAGTACTTTCAGGAGGTAAACTGAAAATGTTCTGATGCATGAGGGTTGGCTGGCTTTTCTCCTCTAAAGCTTCTGTGTAGAAGGAGAGCATGGCAAAGAGTTTGACTACTAATTATCTGTGTAAATGTTGCCAACTTACTTGATCTGTCTATGCTTCAGATTTATATCCAATAATCAGAAAAATTTGGAAGTCGACAGACTGTTTTCCAAAACTTTTAGAACAATTTCTTGGCCTCATGCCTGGGGAGGAAGATTATACAGTGCAAAGAAGAATAGATCCAGAACTATGAGACTGGAGCTTGTCCCAGTCCCAGTTGAGTAGCTCTGAAATCTTCTATTAGTTCCTTGATCTTTTTGACTCATTTGTAAAATGAGTAAAATCCCTCATTTGTAAAATGACAGGATGAAACAAACCATAAGATAGTTTGATTTATTGGATTTTTTCATGACTTCTGTTGTGGTGGTGTTTTAGAACAGGTATACTTTATAATTAAATGTAGTAAATTATATTTTTATAAAGAATAGAAAACTTTTCCTTTTCTTGGTAATAGAAAGAAATGTTAATATGTTTAATTAATGACAATACCTTACTAGAATTATTTGAGTGCTAAGGATATATGAAAAGAAAAGATTAATGTTGTGAGTTCTGGAGCCTACAGTGCACATGACTGACCATGTCTAAAACTTTAAGAATATAATGGTTTCCTTAGTAACTTCTCTTTTTTCTTGCTAATCTTCAAAGCAAGAAAATAATCTTCCCCTTTTCCTGCAATTTGATTAATATTGATTTTCTTAGCCATTTCCCCTAAAAAATAGCCCTTCATTTTATCAATTTTATTTTTTAAATACTCAAATGGTAGCAATGTATTCATCTTACTTTAATGTTTATTAACATGTTTCTTATTCTTTTTTTGGATTTGTTTCATTGTTCTCTTTCTACTCTTTTGAGGTGAAAATGTTTTTCCTTTATTTTCATTCTTTTTTATTTAGGGATAGAGAAATTTTAGGGAATGAATTTGTTCCCACAGTTAAGCTTTTATTATAGCTCATTAGGTTTGATTACATAATGTTTTAACTAATATTAGTCACTAAATACTTTGTAATTGCAATTTTGATTTATTAACTTCAATCAGTAGTCATTTTTGCTGACTGCTTTTAAAATTATAAACAAACAAGAAGGAATAACAAAAATGTTTGGGGTTTTAGTTACTTGTTTTGCATTATCTTTAACAAATGTGGATTCTTTGGGGGTGGGA